AGCGTATTGGAGAAGCGGTACATCCACTGGGAGCTCATCTCCAGGCAGTTCTCTACGCCGGGGTTGTCGGGTTCTGGGACTCCTGAACCTTCCTGAGAGAGAAGGGAACAAGGTGAGAAAATTTTTAACAAATTTGTTAATGCGTAATGCTAATGGCGTAGAAACCAAAAAATGTGTTACGAGCAATCTAGGGAGCTCCTGAGAATTAATTTTCTGCAGACTTGGTGGCGTTCATACAAACAGCCTTAGACACACAAAAATCTATGATCTGCTAAATAAGTTCAACATGAAATCTCACGCCTCCTATAACATGTTACAGGAATCACTTAATTTTTTGGCATAAAATTTTGATTGCATTTGCTTAGACTGTTGGGAGTTTAGGAAGTTGTTGTGGGTTCATAAAGAAAAATGTTTTATCATACCATGTATCTATATTTTTTGTACAAAACAATTTAATTCAAATAGCAACAAACTATGATATGATTATTCTCAGTTTGCGGAGAAACCCCATGCCACGCTAACTTTATACTCTCTGTACGACCATTAATCCATTCAAAAATTCGAAACCGGACATTAGCGGATGCAAAGTCCAATCCATTTCAACTGAGTGTTGTACATGTTATTCGAGGTTCTAATGCTTCTCAGCATCTACGTTCTATCAAAAATTGATCCTTATTATGAAAGGCATGTGAATAGCTAAAACATTCAATTCTACAAATTTAAACAGATGATGGATTTAACAGAGCCCAGTAAATGGAGAAAATTGGAATTTTTTGGAAACGTGATTCCGGTGGTTCTCTACAAAGTATTTTCTATATTAATTGGAAATCACGAAATTAGCGCAGGAGGAAAAAGTAATGCAGAAACTTCACATGTTCAACAATTACGTGATAAAAGACTAATTAAATTAAAGTTGTTAGTCCAATAGACAATTATTCAGGATTTATGCGCGTTATCCCTAACCCCAAATGTGAGGTAAAGATTCTTCACATTATCCCATCAATGAATTGCGTTATTGCATTAATTTTGCTTCTGCTTCGGTTCTGTTGGTTTATTTTCCGAACTTCTGCTTGCACTGTAAATAGAGTTTTCTAAAATAAAAAATCTTACATATCCCTAATATAAGTTCACAGTTGAAGCTTCTTAACTTAACACAATTCCTATGATTACTGTATCTCACATTTGACCAGTATGGTAGCCCCATTGCCATTGGAGAACCGTCAATCCAGCGCCATTGTCCCTCTACGACTTTATCCGAGCCACCGATCCAATATCCAAAAGGGTTGTAGCCTTGTCATGTGAAGAGACGTGAAAACATAACAAAATAAATGAAATTGAATCATCACATAAAAAAAACAGCAAGTTAGCTCGGCGTTGCCTGGGATCGATAATCCCTTGCAATTTTTTAATCGCTATCTTGAATCCTCTCAGTAATATTAAAACATATCATAAGTTATAATATTACTCAGTAATATATATCATAATTTATTTAAGGAAGACGTTCTAAAAGTGGCAAAACATCTTACATAGATAGTAGAACTGGCATTTCACACACTTCAATAAATGCGAATATTATTAATGCGAAATATAATTATCAGAGTTAATTTGTTTGAAGTCTGGCGTAGCATTATATAGGAGCTGTTGGGGCGCGGATCCAGGATACTTAACGTGTCGGGACATTGTATGTAGGGGCTGTTGGGGCGCGTATCCAGGATACTTATCGTGTCGGGACATTGTATATAGGGGCTGAATTGGAGCGCGTATCCAGGATACTTATCGTGTCGGGATAGTGGATATAAGAGGCTATTGGCATGCGTATTCAGGATGCTTATCGCGTCGGGATATTAATTAGCTATTCAAAGGTGTCAAAAATAATTTCAAAATAATGTTTGAGAATAAAAATGCTCCGAGGGAGCCTCTAGGTTGAGTTATATTTCAAACGTTAGTAAAACTTGGATATTTGCGCGGCGATCTTGACTTTTTGTTCTGATTTACTATTGTATTAATCTTTTTGAGTCGTATGCAGGTAAATGGCGGAAATGCAATACAGCCTCATATGTAGGTTCGAGTAGTGGCGGGCTACTCTCAATGGTAGCTCATATGAAGACTCATTGCTCTGTCTACAGGATGTAATCGGTCTCCAGGAAACCATTCAAATTTATAAGCAAGATACGCTATAAGGTCCCATGATATCTGATTTTGTTGGTGGTTACCTTGCTCCATGAGATATTTGATAACCCTGTTGTACTGGTCGCAGTCATCTAGAATTATCAAATCTCCTCCTGTTGACCCACACGCGGTGCGTGCGTCGGTAAAGTTGTAGCTTGTTGGCAGAAGGTGAACGCACTGCGTGCCCACCAGGTCGTATGGTACGGCGCACAAACCTGCAGATAACGAAAAGTTGATGAGATGTCAAACAAAATTAAAATCGGAAACTATGATCAGATAATCGTGACCATAATAGAACTATCTTTTTTAAGCGTACCAGAAGTTTTCACGATAAGTTTTCAATTTTGGCGATAGTACAATAGACTTCATCAAAATAGGACAGATTTTTAGAGTGAAGAATTCCTAGATATAGGCATGTGAAGACTTTCACTAAGTAACCAAAATAAAAATTGAAACACGGTTGATTGTATTCTCGCTGGCTTGAAACTAGCATCGAAATTCATTCATAACCTAAAACGGCGAGCCGTTTCAGATTATTCATTTGTTTGATGTCAGAGAGACACTGTTTTAAAGAAGGCTCTCACCATCCGTTGAAGATCTTGAGCACACTGGGTAAACATCGTAGCCTGATGAGGTACAACTCAAGTCATTGAGCAGCCAGCCCCTGCTGACGATTATCATGGCGCAGTTTTCACCCCCATGGGCATTGTTGGGCTCTGTCTTGCCATCAGCTGCAGTATTCTGAAGAGAGCCCAACACTAATTTCGTTTTAAAATCATTCAGGCACTCATATCCTGAATTAATGACGAACGTACGAGCAAATTTAAAGCTAACCACCGTTGTCATATTATAATTTTTTTATAAGTATTTCTAAGAACAGATCAGTCGTTAATACTGCAACATTGATGCCATAATGGTCGCAAAAATATGAAAATGGAAAAACAGGTTGGAGCAGGTAAAATTGTTCATTTTGGTATCCTTTTGTCATGGGACTTTGCCTTGCTTCAAAGTTTGGTGTTTCTTGATGTCTTGTTCTAATTTCATGCACTGTTTTGTATCACACAAAAACAGGTTACATCGTATTTGTAAAACGCATCAAGTCACTCACGACCGCCCAGTACGGAGCGCCCATCTTCACGGCGGTGCCGTCGTTCCACTGCCAGACGACGGTAGCCGACGAGTTGGTGGCGCCCAGCCAGTAGCCGTTGATGGCGTCCGCTGAGTCTGACAGAACACATCGGTAAACAGGAGATGCTTAACAATCCAAATTCGAAAAAGTGGTGGATACATTGTATTGCATTTAAACCCATCACACTATCGATACCGATTAGGATCTCAGAGAATAGGGGCTGAAGACTTGAGTGTCTAGTAAAGCTTCGAAGGCTATTAAAGCAACACCCTGTTAATGTCCTATTGATTTAAGCTTGATATTGAAGTTAATTTTGAAGGTTTATATTGAAAATTGGCATGGTTATAAATAAGAAAAAGATTGACGAAGAATAAGCTACTTCATTCTGTCGAATTAAATAGTGCTTTCTGCTATGACGAACGTCCTGATGAAAAAGTTGAGAAAAAACATGTTTAATTTATCATTGGCGGATAATTACGTTGGATTTTTCATGACGTTATAATCTCACATCCATCGTCGACATAAGTGGCAACATCAGTGAAGGAAGCGCAGTCGCGCAGCACGGGCAGCCTGCCGAAGTTCTGGTGGCAGTAAGCCACCGCGTCGTCGTGCGTGAGGTAACCACCAGGCAGGCGGTGGATGCACTTGGACCCAACGACCTCGTAGCCAGCGGGGCACTCAATTGCCGCTGCGCCTGTCGTATTGGACGAGAAATTTGATAACAAGTGAAATTCCTAATTTTTCGGGAAATTTCGCGGATTGATTTAGAATGAATTGAACGAGACAGTTTCATATTTTATGAAAGCTACAAAAATCACACAAGAAATCGACATGAAACGAAAACAATAAACTCTTCAGTATAAAAAATGAATTACTAAATAGACTCTGAAATTGTTTAGACATGCTTGCACAAAACTTGGTCTAGATTTACCTGAAGCTGAAGAAAATTGTATACGGCAATGGAATTTCAATAAGTTGAACACTTCGAATTTGACGTACAGTGGCTCGCAAAAGTACTGGATACATTGCAATTTTCCTCATATCTCAGGTTAAAGTGCGAGATTTTTCATAATATTTGGTCAGTATATTGCTAATGGTGCTAAAAACACTATATATAAAGGATATTTAAAAATATTCGTGAAAACTGCTAATATTCAGCATCGAATATTATCGATTCAGCATCGCAATATTATAGATTCGACATCGATTAATGAATATTCGGCGCCGATTAGTAAATATTCGGCGTCGATTAATGAATATTCGGCGTCGATTAATGGATATTCGGCGTCGATTAATGAATTTTCGGCATCGATTAATGTGGATGCGGCGTCGATTATTGTATATTCGACGTAGATTAATGAATATTCGACGTCGATTAATGCCGATTTGGTTACAACTACCTGAGGTTCGACATCGATCGATGAAGATTATTCGATTCAACAAATTATCAGGTGCAGAAACTTCGACGATCTTCGCTGAATCGGCATAGAAAGTTCCTCGATAATCGTCGTCGCGCCCCGCGACATTGCCCTCTCCGTTGCCCACTCCAAATGGGGATTTGCCCTCGTCGATCGAGCAAGAATCTGCATTAATTTCTTCATCGATCCGTTCTAATCTTCATCGATCGATCAAGGCCTGTTTGACTGGGTAACGACCAAGCTGTATCGGCAGCCGAATGGCCGCCAAGCTAGCATGCCCATCTGCCCATTAATAATTAGAATGGGTTTATCTTGTGGATCCTTCATCTGCATGTTCGGTATGAATTTTTTTGTTCCGTAACGTATTATATAAATGGTATGTCGTTCTGTCTCAAAAGTCTCATAACTGCTCGGAAAAAAATGTTCAAATTTTATCACAAAATCCTAGTGACGATAAATAGCTTTCTTTTGGAACAATTTTTGCCTTAGACTCGTTATTTTTAACGATTCATAAACGCTGAGGCCTAATTATGAGCACTACATGACGAAAATCCTCGCAAGCTTAGAGGTTACGTCGCGCAGATCTAGAGTGGCTGCGCCTCACAGATATAGAGGGCCTGCGCCTGGCAGATCTAGAGGGGCTGCGCCTCGCAGATCTAGAGGGGCTGCGCCTCGCAGATCTAGAGGGGCTGCGCCTCGCATATCACACGCCGCGTGTTGGAGCACAGCGTGTTGGAGAAGCGGTACATCCACTGGGAGCTCAGCTCCAGGCAGTTCTCCACGCCGGGGTTGTCGGGTTCTGGGACTCCTTCACCTATCTGAGAGAGTAGGGAACAAGGTGTGAAAATCTTTAATTAACAAATTTGTTAATGCGTCATTATGACGTAGCAACTAAAAATATGTTATGAACATTCTCGTGTGCTCCTGGGAATTAATTTTCTGCAGACTTGGTGGCGTCCATACAAACAGCCTTATACAGTGCCGGAAATGGCTATACGACCACCCAGTTTTCTCCAAATATTTTTTCTTGCACAAAAAAATAAGGGATTCTAATTATACGAGGTTAAACTACGTTTTAAAAACGGTTCCAACGCTATGCGAAAAAAATAATTTTCTCAAAATATATGAGAAGAAATTATGAAAAGTAGAAAAACCTAGGTGGAAATGGTTATAAGACCAGGATAGGTTTTTCTCCATTTTGGTATCTTTCTGCAACATTTTCACTTTAAAAAGTACAGCAATATAAAGAATATATTGATTTTCGTCATTTAGGGCCTTTCTGGTGTACATCTGGTGTACTTCAGTGTCCTCACTTTTATTTTTTCGAAGTAAAAAATATGCCAAATGGGACAAGACGCACTGAGGCCGAGAAGACGCAGTTTTCAACTTTGTGAAATGCAGTAGAAGCCAACGGGACATCGAAATGGGAATAAAACGCTCAAAACCCATTGCACAATCATTTTTTTTGCTAATTAGGAGTGTTCGCTCGTACTTAAAGAGAGTTAAGCGCATGCAAGCATGCAAGTTAATTCACAGCACTAAGGCATGTGACAATCGGTATACACCGAAGCTCCAAGGAGCCAATAACCCCTACGGGTTCCAAGCACTGGCGTAAAGCCGGTTAAGCAAGATCTTAATTTAAACGAGCGAAACACAGAAGTTCTAACATGCATTAAATTGAACAAAATAAAATGAAAACACATTTGCACAAACTCAAATTAAGGTATAGATAAGCAAGAGTTAACAAAATTGGTAATACTGTTTGAGCAAGAGGTCTTTACTCCGGTAAGATTAAAGCAATAGTAAGTAAGATAAAGCTAAGGAGCGTCGACTATGTCTCCGGACACGAGACAAATGATAAGCGCATAAACGTTAATGACTTAATTAGATAATAAATTTTAACAGTTGAGACTGAATTAAACTTTTAAGCTAATGAAGAAATCGTGGATCGTCAGTCCTCTTCTACTTTACCGTCCACTTTTTTTAATCAAATACGCTTGCCTTTTAATCCCGGAATTATCCTTGTTGCACTTCTTTGAACACTCTCGACTAAATTTTTGCCCTTTTCTAGTTTTGGTGACTACACTGTTTCCAAGCTCTAGATTCGGACGCACGACAGCGACATACAACAGCTTTATCGCTTTCTCTCGTAAGAGCGTCGGGTCAGTCTAAGTCGTTGATTGCCTTTATCAACTTGAGCTTCAATATGCTTAGAAAATTTCAACTCATTATCTAAATTAACTCCTAAACCTTTTTCCATTGTCGACTTCGACATCATCACTCTGTCGTTGCAACCATGTCTTCTCATACTGTAAATTACTGTTCACAATTCTTGCCAAAGTAGATTACTTTACATTTGTCAGCATTAAAGCATTTAGTTAAATTAATAAGCTACCAATCATGATGAGAACGCAGAGACAAGCATAAAAATAAAGACAACTTACAGTCATTCCCAAAAAAACATTCAATATAGAAGAAAAATTAAATTATTTAAATCATTTCTTCAACTTTTTAATCGATTGCAGTTTTTTACAGCATGATTAATCCGTCAACAATTTTCACAAAAACTAAAGATACGATTGACGCTGTCTCGTAAATCTAAAAATTTCTACATTTTGAGCCTAACCTTCAAAAAAGTTCCAACTTTCGGTCATCATTTCAATCATGATTGGATCTTACGAGTACAAGCCAATTTAAATACATAAAAAATATCTCCTGAATAAAAATAATAAATACAAAACATCTCATTCAATAAAGTTAACGATCGCAATTAATTTACGTGCCTGCCACAAGCTAATGACAGAACAATAATTCTCATTCTATAAAGTTTCCACAAAAGGAGTCGATATTGTCCACAATTTGTGACTGACGCACAGCTGCATGCGATAGCTGAGAGGTGATATCGCTGAGAGGTGGAGCACGTGAACTCGAAACACGAAAAACAAGCCGAGATATTGCCTCTGCTTCTTATTTTTACCGCAAAAAAGCTGCGTGTAATTTATCACAATCAATGCTAAGGATGTTGAACAAAAATATGTGGAGGAAATTTAAATTTTGGATTACCTTCTTGCTTTAGGATTTGAAAGATTTCGTGTGGCTTAACTTTTTGAGTTCAATACGAATAATGTGAAGTAAAACGGATTATTCTCGAAAGCACAGCGAGGAAGAACAAGAAAATGAACCATTGTATCGAGTATAGTCAGTATATATGATACTTAATAGCCCCGTAGCAGCGTGCGACGTTAGTATTTGGAGAGCGCAACCGTGGGTAACAAAATTGACTCGTAAACAGGCCCTGGGCCCAACGCCAACCATCATCATGCAATATCTACACATAGCCTCAGATCAATGAGCTGTGGGTAACTCAGGCTAACAGTAAATCCTTTTGCACAACACAGCCACTGCTTCACAGCGCCGTAGCGCAACTGGCCGGAGCGCAACAGGCCCTACCGCAACAGGCGGCGCAGGTTAGGTTAGGTTAGGTTAGGTTACGTTAGGAGTAGCTGTTGCGGTAGGGCCTGTTGCGCTCCGGCCAGTTGTGCTCTGCCTGATTAAGGTTTAGGTCTAATTAAGCTTTTGGTCTAACTGAGGTTTAGGTCTAATTGAGATTTAGGTCTAATTCAGGTTGAGGTCTAATTGAGGTTTAGGTCTAATTGAGGTTTAGGTCTAATTGAGGTTTAGGTCTAATTAAGGTTTAGGTCTAATTGAGGTTTAGGTCTAATTAAGGTTTAGGTCTAATTCGCTCGTTTAAGTTCTTACTGTGCTGGCTTCACGCCAGTGGTCGAAACCCGTAGGGTTATTGGCTCCTTGGAGCTTCGGAGTTTAACCTATTTTGTCACTTGCCTTGGTGTTGAGAATTAACTTGCATGCTATCTTGCGCTTAACTCTCTTTAAGTACGAGCGAACACTCCTTATACTGTTTTCACTAATTTCTTTCTTATAGTTCTCTACATGAGAACTCTTGTCTAGGATTCCTCAACGGATACAAAGAGGTTATTAAGGTTGATTATCTTGAAAGTGTTATCGTTATTCTCATTTTACTTGAATCATACTGAAATTCATTGCATTATACCCTGGATTCGTTATTTCTAGGCTTAAACTGTTTATTCATCCCGTTCTGATGAGACTCCACCCAACCACCTCTATACTTTCAACTTCCTCATCAGCCCTGCCGCTTCTGTTTATTTGAGCTGTCGCTTATCTTTAACTGTCACGTTAAGGATTGCCACCTCACCATATTGCCACATGCAATATGGTGAGAATTGAAGAAAAAGAGAGACGTTCAACCTAAAATAGTGACTCAGTCATTTGAAATTCAATATTGTGTTCTCGACTACGTCGCGTTTATCGTTAACTCCTGGCTTCGTTCTGCAAACCACTTCTTTTTGCGGAACCACTTCAATAAAAGTTTGCACGGTTGCATTGTTCTTTAATTTCCATTTGTACCGAAATTCAATACATTTCATTAGATCTAATACCAGAACTGAATCCATAATATGAGCGAAAAAAAACATTCTAACATTACGCCGCAAATTTTAGTACATCGTGTACTCAACACCAATTCTCAAAGTGCCCCAAATACCAACTATATTATTACATCCGACAGAGTACAGCAATGAGATAAATTGCTCATCATACATCACAAAAAGCTCAGCATCTACCCATATCTACTCCAATGAAACGATTATTGGGCTAATGCAGAGTCAATGCAAGGATGTTAAGTTTGTTAGAGTTTAGCTTTATGTCACTGAATGTCGTGATAAAAATGATGACGAATTAATATGTATTAAACATTTCACAAATTCTCTTGTTGAGCAAAATTATCACACAATCTCGTCCCGGAAAACAAAGTATGGAACACTCGGCATAACGCAAAGTATGGACAAAATACGCTATGAAAAATGAACGGTGGTCAACCAGACCGAACGCTAAAGATTTGATGTTGAAATTACGGTTTTCTTTGAAGACGTAATTTTTATGCATGATTATTTTTCAAATCGACAAGCATATACCTATCTGAAGCAAAATTTATGGAAGAGAACAAAATAATGGCGACCGAGTATAGCATCGCTCGTCTCTAGGAGGTGTTTCATAGGAAATAATGAATGCATATAATGAATTTACAAAAATTATATGAACAAATTTTATTTTTTTTTCCAGACGTTAAATGCTAAAAATCCTAGCCGGTTCCCGGGAACGGTTATTTCTGTAAATTTTGAATCCTGTAATCCCAAACCCCGTCATTCCCCGTCCCCGTGCTCCATAATAATGAAATAATCCNGACCTACTGTAGCTGTATCGGCAGCCGAATGGCCGCCAATTGCTAGCCTGCCCATCTGCCCATTAATAATTATAATGGGTTTATCTTGTGGATCCTTCATCTGCATGTTCGGTATGAATTGTTTTGTTCCGTAACGTATTATATAAATGGTATGTCGTTCTGTCTCAAAAGTTTCATAACTGCTCGGAAAAAAATGTTCAAATTTTATCACAAAATCCTAGTAACGATAAATAGCTTTCTTTTGGAACATTTTTTGTTTTAGACTCGTTATTTTTACCGATTCATAAACGCTGAGGCCTAATTATGAGCACTACATGACGAAAATCCTCGCAAGCTTAGAGGTTACGTCTCGCAGATCTAGAGGGGCTGCGCCTCGCAGATCTAGAGGAGCCGTGCCTCGCAGATCTAGAGGAGCCGTGCCTCGCAGATCTAGAGGAGCCGTGCCTCGCATATCTAGAGGGGCTGCGCCTCGCAGATCACACGTCTCGTGTTGGAGCACAGCGTGTCGGAGAATCGGTACATCCACTGGGAGCTCAGCTCCAGGCAGTTCTCTACGCCGGGGTTGTCGGGTTCTGGGACTCCTTCACCTATCTGAGAGAGAAGGGAATAAGGTGTGAAAATCTTTAACAAATTTGTTAATGCGTCATTATGACGTAGCAATTAAAAATATGTTATGAACATTCTCGTGTGCTCCTGGGAATTAATTTTCTGATTTAACAGAACCCATAGAATAGATTTAACAGAACCGTAGATTTAACAGAACCCATAGAATGAAGAAAATATGAAATTTTCTGGAAACGTGATCCTGGTAGTTCCTTACAAAGTATTTTCCATATTAATTAGAAATCTTGAAACTAGCGTATGATTCAAAAGTCCGGGAGAGACTTTACATTTTCCTCAATTAAGTGGTAAACGTCTTATTAAATTAAGGTTGTTAATTTGAAGACCAATTAACAATTAAGGGTTATGTGCGGCATGCCTAACCTGAGTCCAATTGAAAAATTTCATGCGCGGTAACCCTAACCTGAGTCCAATTGACAAATTTTATGCGCGATATTCCCAACCTGACTTCAATTGACAAGTTTTATGAGCGGTCTCCTATAACCTGATTCCGATTGACAAGGTTTATGCACGAAATCCCCAACCTGAGTCGAAGAGACAATTATTCAGGGTTTACGCGTAGTATCACTAACCCAAAATGTGAGGTAAGGATACCTTACATTATCCCATCAATGAACGGCGTTGTTGCATTAATTTGCTTCTGTTTCAATTCTGTTGTTTATTTTCAGAACTTCTACTTGCAATGTAATTAGAGTTTTACTAGAATAGAAACTCATACATATCCCTAATATATGTTTACAGTTGAAGCTCCTCAACTCATCACAATTCCTATAATTATTGTATCACATTTGACCAGTAAGGCAGCCCCATTGCCATTGGAGAACCGTCAATCCAGCGCCACTGTCCCTCTAAAACTTTATCCGAGCCACCGATCCAATATCCATAAGGACTGTAGCCTTTTCATGTGAAGAGAGGTGAAAACATAAACAACTAAAACGAAATTTGAATCATCACATATAAACCAGAATGTTCCCTTACCCCCTACATTTTAATATCAATATCAATAAACTAAACCCTCTTACATCCCACGATGTCTTATACAATGTGCTCTAGCAGCGTCTTCCATTAAGGTGGGACTTGGCGTCAGGGACCCAACCTCAAACTGCGTGTAACAGGGTCAAATTTTCATTATTAACACAACCTNGCGCCAACGATGTCATCGGGAAGGCTGTTCCACATGTCGGTGATTCGAAGCGAGAAGAAATTTTGTCGCGTGGAGAAGTTGCAGCGCAATTTTTTTAGTTTATAGCCGTGGCCCCTGGTGTTGGTTCTTGTTTCAAATTCTAGTATTCCTTCTGGGACCTTGTATAAGCCATGAGTACACTTGTATGCTTCAATGAGGTCCCCACGCAGACGTCGATAACTGAGGCTTGGAAGCTTCATAATCTTTATTCTTTCCTCATAGGACTTGCCTTTAGAGCCCGGATTTATCCTTGTTGCACGTCTTTGAACACGCTCTATTAAATTTTTATCCTTTCCAAGTTTCGGTGACCACACGACGTTTCCAAACTCTAGATTCGGGCGCACGACAGCAACAAACAATTGCTTCATCGCTTCTGCAACTATAGGAACTCGAAAGAGCGTCTGATCAGTCCAAGTCGTTTATTGACTTGATTAACTTGACCTTCAATATGCTTAGAAAATTTCAACTCATTGTCGAAATTAACTCCTAAATCTTTTTCCATTGTCAACTTCGATATCATCACTCCATCGTTGCAACCGTGTCTTCTCATACTGTAATCTTGTTGTTCATTGTTCTTGTCAAGGTGGATTACTTTACATTTGTCAGCATTAAAACGCAGCTGCAACTTTTCAACCCAGTCAACCAGCCTGTCAAGATCACCTTGCAACTGTACTTTTTGCGACGTATTCTTCACTGTATTATAAATTTTTGTGTCGTCAGCATACATCGAGCACACGCTCGACCCAGCTTCTGGCAGATCGTTATTATAAATGCAACGAATAAAACAGGCCCGAGAACGCTTCCTTGTGGCACGCCGCTGCTCACTGAAGCCCAGTCTAATACGGACCCATTAATACTGACACGTTGTCGCCTCCCTACTAGAAAATATCTGATCCATTTGAGTACATTGCTGTCAATTCACAAAGACTAACGGTGTCGGCATTCATTGATTGCAACAACAAACTGAAGCATGCTACCAAAATTTTCAAATCTCCGTTACAAAAAAATCCTACCACCATAGTTAACGCCACATCAACTAGATATGTACAACAGTGAACATAAAATTCAAAGGTATACTCATATTACAGGGGAATACGTCCCATGCAGGGCACGTAATATTCTTATATGAAGGTCCGCATTAGGTATGCGTTGTACTCATTACCTATGAGGATGATACTGACCTACGACAAGGAACAACAGACAGACGACGAAGATGATACTCACCTACGACAAGGAGCAACGAACATACGACGAAGTTGATACTCAGCTGCGACAAGATACAGCAGGCAGATGATGAAGATGATACTCACCAGCGACGAACACAAGCAGACAGAAGACTTTCTTGAGACTCATCATTATGGGTTTGCAAGTTGCGTAACCTGCGTTTTTGTTCTGCCAGACTGTTAGGCTTGGGAGGAAATTATTTTTCTGTACAGACGTGGTGAGAAGCACATACTTTTGAGACAGTTTCGGGCGCACTGATCGAGTGCCTATAATCACCAGCTGTATTTATGGTACATTTATCGCGGTATATAATGTTTTGATTACTGCATGTCACAAGGTATTCACATGGCAAGAGATATTCCATCAGATTGTGTTTCTCAGAACATATTCATACCGTGAGAAGTTGTGGCCTTTCTCACAGCTGATGTTGATAGCCCGGCACAGCGCTGTATGAGGTACATACGCAACGTATACTCAACTATCGAAAATAATATAACACAAGGCCCTGGGCTCTGTATTATAACTTGAATTATTGAGGTGTAACCTACCATTAGTAATATTATGGAATCGATGTTGAGTAAGTCGTGTAAGATGTATATATATACGCGGGAGTTTAATTAATATAATATTAACCTCGTGCATAAGAGTTTGAAGGACTTCATTAGTCATCGTGATATTCTGCCATATGCTAGTACGATGCGTGTTTTTAAAGTTAGTATACCGTTATGACTGAATGAATAACTTTTTTTAATAAATAATTTATTTACCTGAGATGCCATTATTTACTCTACTTCTCTACATAATTACCATTAATATTGAGGCCTTTGTCGTATCTTGAGGCCCAGTTCTGTAAGCCATCAGCGAAGAAACTTGCCGCCTAATTAGACAATCTGAATAGACAATTTCGTCTAAGAAAATTTTTCAGCCAAAGAAAAAATCGTGAATCGTCTCTCCTCATTCAGTGTACAGTCGACTTTTTAAATCAACTCATCGGTAATGACTGAAGGTCTCCCACTTCGTTCCTCATCATGAATGCTTGCGCGGCCATCTTTGAAGGCCTTAACCCAATCCTGCATCATTCCATCACTCGTAGTCTTTTTACCATCAATTTCTGATTTGGCGCTGAATGTCATTCGACTCGGAAGTCTTGCACACAGACAAACTTATGCGCGTCGCAGTCGGCGGGATATTCAGGTGAAGGCATTTAAAACACATATACAGATGTAGACTCCGTCGTCCATCGGATGGTTCCGTTCTGGCGTCTGGGGGCTTCCCAACAAATGTTGAGTCGCGTAACAGCGCACATGCGCCAAACGGCGCCCGCAGCTCTGTGGCGGCTCAATTTAATTAAAGTGGTGCTTACTCCAAAAACATTGCCAGTCATAGATCGCCGCGACTGCCCCTTAAGGTAACTGCCAAGTTACTAGTCGAACGTCACCAAATCTGCCAATTGGCTCATTAATGATATAAGGTACCTGTACTTTGTAATAGGATCAAGTTCCTTAATTGATGTAGAAGTTGACATGGAAAAAATTCTGTAAGCAAAGGCGCAATTAGATTCCTAAAAAAGGGAAATTTAAGGAAGATTTTTTGCTGCATTTTGCTGGGTTCATTTCACTATAGATTTCTGTTGTATTTTAATTGTATGAAAACGCGTGGGTCAGTTGCATTCGATAGAGTAACTAACTTATCCTTTCTCTAGTCAAAATCGTATCCGTATCTGACTCATACAATCTTACAAACATGACGTAGTAAAATGTAAAAACTTGATGAAATCCTACTCAAATTAAGATCAAGCATATTAATTGGAGTTTTTAATAAAATAATTTGCTTGTGGACCCAATAACATTAATAAGTTACCAATCATGAAGAGAACGCAGAGACAAACACAAAAATATAGACAACTTACAATCATTCCATGAAAAAAAACATTGAAGATTTTCCGTATGTTCTGCTGCAACACAATTTGCATAGGAGTAAGTATACATATTTTTCGTTAGTATAGGACCTAATTTGGATTTCTTCTTTCTCTCTAGGGATCTTTTCTTGTTGAAGGCCGGTAACTAACCGCCACCACTGTGTTCTAAAATCTTGTTCAATTTAATGTTCTTAGATTCTCGTAGGTATTTGATTCCAGTAACGTCGTTAATGTTTCGTTAACGAGTAAAATTGTTTGGGGAAAGTCATTTATTTCAACCTCGACGCGTAAGATCATCAGAGTGAAACTATTGGACTAAAAATCGTTGGCCGGCAGCGCTCCCGTCCATCAGAGTACTGCCTGAACTCCGCAGTGTACAGGATCTCTATTTAGGTCTAATTGAGGTTTAGGTCTAATTAAGGTTTAGGTTATATTAAGGTTTAGGTCTAATTAAGGTTTAGGTCTGAGTAAGGTTTAGGTCTGAATAAAGTTTAGGTCTAATTAAGGTTTAGGTCTAATTAAGGTTAAGGTCTAATCAAAATTTAGGTCTAATTGAGGTTTAGGTCTAATTAAGGTTTAGGTCTTAATAAGGTTTAGGTTATATTAAGGTTTAGGCCTAATTAAGGTTTAGGTCTGAATAAGGTTTAGGTCTGAATAAGGTTTAGGTCTAATTAAGGTTTAGGTCTAATTAAGGTTAAGGTCTAATTAAAATTTAGGTCTAATTAAGGTTTAGGTCTAATTAAGGTTTAGGTCTGATTAAGGTTTAGGTCTAATTAAGGTTTTGGTCTAACTGAGGTTTAGGTCTAATTGAGATTTAGGTCTAATTGAGATTTAGGTCTAATTGAGGTTTAGGTCTAATTGAGGTTTAGGTCTAATTAAGGTTTAGGTCTAAATGAGGTTTAGGTCTAATTAAGGTTTAGGTCTAATTAAGGTTTAGGTCTAATTCGCTCGTTTAAGATCTTACTGTGCTGGCTTCACGCCAGTGGTCGAAACCCGTAGGGTTATTGGCNGTATCTGTGGAGGTATGGATCGGATATGTACTACTGGGTTCTACTGTATTTTGTTCCGTATGTTCTGCTGCAACACAATTTGCATAGGAGTAAGTATACATATTTTTCGTTAGTATAGGACCTAATTTGGATTTCTTCTTTCTCTCTAAGATCTTATCTTGTTGAAGGCCGGTACCTAACCGCCACCACTGTGCTCTGTAAATCTTGTTCAATTGAATACTCTTAGATTTGCCTTAGTATTTGATTGCAGATACGTCGTTAATGTTTCGTTCTTGAATTAAATTGTTTGGGAAAGTCATTTATTTCATACCTCGACGCGTAAAATCATCAGAGTGAAACTGTTGGATTAAAATCGCAGGCCGGCAGCGCCATCTCCCGTCCATCAGAGTACTGCCTGAACTCTGCAGTGTACAGGATCTCTATTTAGATCTAATTGAGGTATAGGTCTAAATAAGGTTAAGGTCTAATCGAGGTTTAGGGCTAATTGAGGTTTAGGTCTAATTGAGGTTAAGGCCTAATTGAGGTTTAGAATTAATTGAGGTTTAGGTTTAATTGAGGTTCAGGTCTAATTGAGGTGCAGGTCTAATTGAGGTTTAGGTCTATAATAATATAATATAATAATGGCGGTTTCAGCGTTTATTAGGCCGTAGGCCTGTCGCCGATTCCTAACATCGCAGTCTATTCACAGCATTTTGCGGTCTCGAACTCGCAACTCACTGCTACAATTCTGCTGTGCTTAACCGCCCGGCCTCCGTGCAGATTCTGACCAGAAACTGGCGCACAGAGTGGGATCGAATACGCGCCTCTCTGCTCCAATCTTGGTACTCTGAACTTTAACCACTGGGCTACCCTGCTAATCGAGGTTTAGGTCTAATTGAGGTTTAGGTCTAATTGAGGTTTAGGTTTAATTGAGGTTTTCGTCTAATTGAGGTTTGGGTCTAATTGAGGTTTAGGTTTAATTGAGGTTTTGGTCTAATTGAGGTTTGGGTCTAATTGAGGTTTGGGTCTAATTGAGGTTTTGGTCTAATTGAGGTTTAGGTTTAATTGAGGTTTAGGTCTAATTAAGGTTTAGGTTTAATTGAGGTTTTGGTCTAATTGAGGTTTAGATTTAATTGAGGTTTAGGTCTAATTGAGGCTTTGGTCTAATTGAGGTTTTGGTCTAATTGAGGTTTAAATAGGTCTAATTGAGGTTTAGGGTTAATTGAGATTTAGGCCTTATTGAGGTTTAGGTCTAATAAAATTCAAAATGCAAACGTGTGAAAACATAAGAT